GCGTGGCGCTTGGGCGCCGCCCAGCTTATGCGAGGATCTGGAGTGGTGTCCACTCGCTGAGTGAGGGCGAAGGCTGCGTCGCCGGCGCGCTGAGGAACTCGCCCAGCGTGCGCGGCTCAGCCGCCGGACCTGCAACCGTACCAGACTTCGGCAGCGGCGGGTCCGGCGCCGCCGGGCCGCCGGGCCCGCCGGCGCGCCCCCGCCGGGCGCGGAACTGCGTCTGCGGTGGGGTCGCCTCGGGCGACTCGGCTCGGCTGCCGCGTTCGGCCACCGCCGCCGCCGCCAGCAGTGGCAGCGGCGGCGCGTCCTGGCGGCGCGCGCCTCCGCCGTCGCCGTCCGCTGGTCGGATCGTCATCGTCCAGGCGCCGTCGACGGGCGCGGTGTGGGCGGTGACCGTCCAGGACTGGTCGGTCACCGCCCCGGAGTGCGCCGTCACCGTCCAGGAGGCGTCGGCCGGGGCAGGTGCCGCCGACGCGGAGGCGGCCGCGGCTCGGCCAGGGCGCACCGAGTGGCCCACGGACTGCCGACCCCAGCTGCGGCCACCGCCGGCGCCGATGGAGGACGTCTCCAGACTTCTGCCGGCGAGCGCCGAGCGGGGGGACTTGGTCCAGCTGTCGACGGGGATCGAATTGTCGGCCAACACCCAGGGGGTAACGCTCGGCCCGGCCGCGACGGGCAGCTTCCAGGACCCACCCGCCGGGGCGGTGTACGGCGGCACCCACGTGTCACCGGTCGGTACCGTGTTGGAGGCCGGCGTCCAGTGGTGCTCTGACGGCGCCTCGCCGGCCGGTCTGCGGCGGGTGCCGCCGTGAGGCGCCGTCGCCTCCCACTGCCTGCGCCCGTCATCGCCCGCCGCCACCCCCGACGAAGGGTCGGATGGGAGCCGGGGCGGCTGCGGTCGGCCCACGCGCAACGGCAGAGAGCCGGCGCCGTCACGCCAGTCCCGAGGCAGCCCGCTGGCGTTGCCGCCGGCGCCGCCGCCAGCGCTGCCGCCGCCCGCTCGTGGGCCGCCGCCGCCGCCGCCGCCAGTGCTGTCGCGCCTCCCTGCGCCTGCTGCCCCAACACTGCCGCCGCTGCCGCTGCTGTCGGGTTCCTCCTGCACCTGCTGCCCCGGCGCTGCCACCGGCACCGCCGGTGCGCCGGCCAAACTCGACCGAAGTCACCTCGCGCTTGGCGAAGCCGGGCCCGCCGCCGAGGCCGGGCCCGAGATCTGCCGTCAGCGGCGGCAGCGGGCCGCCGAAAAGGAAGGTGGGCGAGCGAGGCGCGACCGGCGGCGGCGGCGCGCCCGCCGGCTGCTGCGGCGTCGGCAGCGGCACGCCGTCCGGCGTCTGGTACGCCACCGTCGCCCGGTAGCCCGCTTCGTCCGCCACGTAGTTCACCACCTGTGGCCGGCGGCGGAGGCGTCAGGGAGGGTCACCGCGCGGCGACGGGGAGGACGGGGCGGCGCGGGAGGAGCCGGTTCCGGGATAAAGGGCTTAGTCTTTGCTGAGTCGCCCTTGGGGGGGGGGGGGGCATCTCGTCCTAAAAGTGCGATTGTCCCTCGTCTCGTTTCGTCACACCGAACGTTCTGGATTGGGTTTGGCGTGTGACACCATGCGGCAGTTTACGTGCTCCATATTTTCATAAGAGGGGAAGGTAGCATTCAGCGTGATCGCGCTTTGACCATAAAGGCACGTGAAGGATCCGCGATTTATTTGATTCGCTGTGAAAAAGCAGCTCCTAATAATGTTATTAGAAGCACGGTGTGGTTTTCAGGGTTAATTGCTGCAGAGAGGGCGGGAATGAACCCAAATAAATTTGTTTCTCTCCCCTTTCCGTACAGTGCGGTGTAGAGTTGTTGCCGAAACTGTCCTAGACGCGACGGCCGCTTCTTCCGCCCGCCTGCTTTCTGCCGTCCCTGGATAGTCGTATCGTGGCATGGTTGGATGGTAATGAGAAGTGCCCGACAGAAGCCAAGCACACTCCATTCCGTTTCATAGCGCCGCGCGGCCCCACGTTCACCTCAGCCGTGACACTCGGCGATACAGAGGACTGGCCGGCACCGTGAGAGGCGCATCGAACCGAGCAGCGAAAGGCTCAGACTAGAGTGTGTTTTGTGTAACCATTCTTTTCGTAAAATAGTAGCCATGTAGCTGTGTGGAGTGTAAGTGAGGCGGAAATGCGTGTCTTGGCAACTAGGTGGCAGCGCGTCAGCGTAGAATCATTCCATGTGGCAATAGGCGACAGCTAAGCGAAGCAAAGAGATCACCAGCCCATTGCGACGGGTGAGGCAAAAAGATGCGACAGGGTGTAATTGCTACCGTCCAAGTAGTCCAATGCGCGAAGGTACTGTCACTGGGAACGCAATGCGACGACAGCTGAGCCTGCCGTGTCCCCTGCCCCGTGCCGCTCGTGCTGCCCCGCGGTGCTGACCTGTACGCGGCCGTCGGGCAGCAGCACCGAGTAGAAGCCGGTGACGGCGTTGCCGTCGCGCTGCTCGCTCTGCTCCGAGTAGGTGGCCTCGGCCGGGTCCTCCGTCTTGTAACCGAAGGTGTACTGCGCCACGCCCTGTGACAGCGGGACGTCAGTTGACGGCCGGGTCCTCCGTCTTGTAACCGAAGGTGTACTGCGCCACGCCCTGTGACAGCGGGACGTCAGTTGACGGCCGGGTCCTCCGTCTTGTAACCGAAGGTGTACTCCGCCACGCCCTGTGACAGCGGGACGTCAGCTGACGGCCGGCCGGCGGCGCAGCCCAGCTGAGCCCTGCAACATGTGGGCAGCCGGGGCTCTGGAGAGGCGTCCAGGGGCGCGACATGCAGGACGCCTGGCGGGGTCCGTGATCCGCCAGTGGTCACGGTGTGCAGAGCGGGGCTTACGGCACGCGGCATGACGCCGAGCCCAAGTGGCTTGTGATGAACTGAACTACATGGGATGCGCTGTCGGCCGTCGGATCGGCCCAGGCGCTTGTTTGTCGGGGCCGCCCGGTGTGTGCGCGTCTTGTGGTGGGCCTGTTTGCTGTGTCGTGCAGAGGTGAGTCGGGTGACCTGGCCCGGGGTGGTACTCACGGGGGCACCTGGCCCAGCGGCGTGAGGGGCGCCGGCGCCAGCGGGCCACCGAAGAACTGGTTGCCGGGGTTGCGCTGGCCTTCGGCGGCCGCCGCCAGGCAGAGCAGTACCGTAGTCAGCATCTGGCGGTCGCACCAGCTCTTCGTGGTAAGGCGGCTATCTCCGAATATTTGAGCCGACGACAGCAGCACCTTCCCCCCCCCCCCCCCCCATTTCAGAGTTTATTTGTGTTCGGTTCTCTCATGATAGAAAGTGGCCACTATAAACTAAATTTGCCTGCATGCATCTATGCAGATCCCTGATGCCTGGCACTCCAAGTTCACCCTTGTCTGCAGTTTGCAGTTTCCCTCAGATGCCGTTTCAGCGTTAGTGACGAAGGCCATGTAATCATCAGCGTACCGGGAGATCTCAGTGTAGACCCCACTAATCATGCTGTCACGCGTGGCTCCACACGCGCTGGTGTGTGCTGCTAGCGGGGTCTACTCGCTAGCGTGGCTCCACGCGCGTAGATGTGTGCTGCTAGCGGGGTCTACTCGCTAGCGTGGCTCCACACGCGCAGATGTGTGCTGCTAGTGGGGTCTACTCGCTAGCGTGGCTCCACACGCGCAGATGTGTGCTGCTAGTGGGGTCTACTCGCTAGCGTGGCTCCACACGCGCAGATGTGTGCTGCTAGTGGGGTCTACTCGCTAGCGTGGCTCCACGCGCGTAGATGTGTGCTGCTAGTGGGGTCTACTCGCTAGCGTGGCTCCACACGCGCAGATGTGTGGCTGCTAGTGGGGTCTACCTCGCTAGCGTGGCTCCACGCGCGTAGATGTGTGCTGCTAGTGGGTCTACTCGCTAGCGTGGGCTCCACACGCGTAGATGTGTGCTGCTAGCGGGGTCTACTCGCTAGCGTGGCTCCACACGCGTAGATGTGTGCTGCTAGCGGGGTCTACTCGCTAGCGTGGCTCCACACGCGTAGATGTGTGCTGCTAGTGGGGTCTACTCGCTAGCGTGGCTCCACACGCGCAGATGTGTGCTGCTAGTGGCTCGACTTGTAGAATAAAGAGCATACCAGATATTAGACGTCCTAGCTATCCCACGGCTAGGTCAAGCGCGCTTTGACGCCCAGCCAGTATTGCAGCCGTCAGATTTTTTTCACTGTCAAGAGGCGATACACAGCCGACGAAGCTGACCCTGAATGGAGGTTGGACCACCCCTTGGAGGACGCTGTTTGGTGCCGAGCTCTGGGACTGGATCAGGGTTCGCAGCGGTGACCGACTGGTCACGTGTCCCTACAGATATGGGTTTCTTGGTTCGTTCCAGTACCATCTGTGCATTGGAGCTTGTTTCGCATGGTTGTGACGCACCAAAGCTTTGGTTATTAGGGGTGTGGACATGGCTTTGTACGTGGACAGAGGGTGGGTCTCTGCGCCGACGGCTGGACAATGGGGTGCAGTTAACTGTGGGAAGGCGGCGTCCCTGTTCCTCGTTAACTCGACTCAGCGTTGTTAATCGCAGTCAATATGGCCGCCTCATACTAAACAGACCCAATGCCGAGCTATCAGGTGAAATCAAGCGGCAACTTCCGAGTGCGTGTGCTGGACCTGTGTTGATCGTGGGCGCGGACATGCAGTACGAGATCCTGGTCGCTTATTGTTGCCTTCACCACCGCCCTTCGCCACTGCCAACACTCACCTTGCGGCTGGGTCAGGGGTTCGCCGCGCTTGCCCTCCGCCTCGCCGTCGCCGCCCGCTGCCCGCGCGGTACTGCGCCGCGGCGGCGGTCGACGCGCCGCTTTTGTTGCCGCCGCGCCGTCGCGCACAATACTCTTTGCCAAAGGCGCTCGGAGGACGGGACGGGGTGGGACCGGCGTTGCACTGACCGCTCCCATCCATGCCCGCGTCCCCGGCAGTGATGGCGTGGCCCTGCGGCGCCAGGCGGGGGGCCGCGCCATCGCTGCTTCGGGCGCACAGCTGATCCGGCTGCGGAAGAGCCCGGCTCGTCCTGACCGTCTACTCGTCTGCGATCGCCACACGCTCGGCCTAAGCCAAGAGCTGGCCGGTCACTCACGCGATGTGGGCGCGCGGACGGAAACTGTTGGCGCTATCGATCGCGGGCGCCCCAGTGTCAGTGCGTCGTCGGCCGCTGGTCGCCGGTCGCCGATCGTCGATCACCAGTCTTCGATCGTCGGTCGCCGGCCGTCGGTCGCCGGTCGCCGGTCGTCGATCACCTGTCGTCGGTTGCCGGTCGCCGGTCGCCGGCCGTCGGTCGCCGGTCGCCGGTCGCCGGTCGCCGATCGTCGATTGTTGATCACCAGTCGTCGATTCGTCGGTCGCCGGCCGTCGGTCACCGGTCGCCGGTCGCCGGTCGTCGATTACCAGTCTTCGATCGTCGGTCGCCGGCCGTCGGTCGCCGGTCGCCGATCGTCAATCACCAGTCGTCGATCGTCGGTCGCCGGTCGCCGGTCGCCGGTCGCCGGTCGCCGGTCGTCCATCACCAGTCGTCGGTCGCCGGTCGCCGGCCGTCGGTCGCCGGTCGCCGGTCGTCGATCACCAGTCTTTGATCGTCGGTCGCCGGTCGCCGATCGTCGATCGTCGATCACCAGTCTTTGATCGTCGGTCGCCGGCCGTCGGTCGCCGGTCGCCGGTCGTCGATCACCAGTCGTCGGTCGCCGGTCGCCGGCCGTCGGTCGCCGGTCGCCGGTCGCCGGTCGCCGATCGTCGATTGTTGATCACCAGTCGTCGATCGTCGGTCGCCGGCCGTCGGTCACCGGTCGCCGGTCGCCGGTCGTCGATCACCAGTCTTCGATCGTCGGTCGCCGGCCGTCGGTCGCCGGGCGCCGATCGTCGATCACCAGTCGTCGATCGTCGGTCGCCGGCCTCGGTCGCCGGTCGCCGGTCGCCGATCGTCGATCACCAGTCGTCGATCGTCGGTCGCCGGCTGCCGATCGTCTGCCCTCGGTCGCCGGCCGTCGGTCGCCGATCGTCGATTGCCGGCCGCCGTCATCACTTTACGATGCACCCAGCTGGTGAGGCTACATGGCGTCGCCTGCGTCGCTCTGTCAGGAAGGGCGGCCGATGCGGAAGATCGGGGCCAATTACCTCTGGTTTCCCAGACGCGCAGCTTAACCACTGCACTACTGGAGCCCCCAACGGCAGCCAGCGCACCAGCGCCTGTGCGGTGCCCGGTCCGAAGAGAGGCGGCCCGGACTAACAGTGTGCTCTGATTAGGACATTTGACTGTTTTCGCTCTCTGCGATACGCACGGAAACGTAGTCCGGTTTTATTGCTCGCACATGCTCTCAGGTCAGTCAGCGAGCTTGCAGCGCGGCTCGAAACTTACATTGTATATAATCGGGCATACATTTTCGTGGTGCCCTAGAATAGTGCCTCCCAGCGTAGGTTTTTATGAGCCCGCTACGCTTGGAAGGGTCAGAGCTTTGTGTGTGGGAGGGGGTGGGGGAGGGGGGGGGGGGGGGGGGGGGTGGAGGGGTAGGACTGAGAACCAGATTTTCGAACAAAGTGCGCAGACATGGTGCTGTCGTCGATGCCTGTAGTTGACGTCCGGGTGATCGAGGACTCGTGCTGAGTCGGGTCTGCACGAATTTCGGCGAGATCCTCCCCCTGAAGAGACTCCAGACAGCTGGGTGATTCGGGGCCTCGACCGGAGCTGTTGGTGACAGCCCTCGGGGCGGTTTCACTACGGACGTCGCCGGGCGCGGTCGGCGGCCTCCCTCGGCACGCACTGAACGTCGCCCGGCTGGCCCTCACGACTGCCGGTTGCGTCAGGGCCGGCGGACCGCGCGGACGGCGGCTGTCGGGCTGCGGTCGGGTGGCGCCCCGATGACGGCAGCTGACGGTCCTGACGCCGGCGCCACCCCGGCCGGAGCAGGATCCTCTCGGCCTCGTCACTGTGCGCGCGACGCGGCGGCTCGCGCACACAGAGCGACGCTAAAGGTCGACAGTGCGTGAGCGCTGGGAGCTTTATACCGCACATGTGCACTGGCAACTCGAGACGTTTTGCTTGATTGGTGTTTACTGCGATCTCAACCGAAGGGTTTGCGAGAACGTCGCCGTTTGGGTCGACATTCATCGCAAATGGATGTATCAAGAACTAGAGTCGTCATCATAAATGGATGCTTCATCCGGATGAGGTAATCATCCTGCGCTTTTCAGTAGCTCCGTCTCTGGCAGACCCCAGCAAGTTTCATTGGAGTTTGGTTCTTAAAAAGATGACGTTGGCATCATCCGGGTGCGTTAACGGCGTCCCGACAGACCGAGCTGAGTTCAGCTGGCCTGGAGGGTGGGAAGACAGACGGTGCAATCATTCATATCATGCATTTTGTTTTGCTCCCTCTTCAGCTCTGGCTGCCCATGACTTTCCCAAAAACCGCGAACCCATGGTTTGTGCCTGAGTATGCGTAACAAACGTCACGCAGCTGGGTATGTGTGCAACTCTATCATTTGGACGTTATTTTGCGGCCATTTTGTTTTCATGCTGTTTCTACGGAGACGGGTGTGGAGCCGCTTTTTTCGCAATTCGTTAAGTTCAAGTATTCGTGCTTAGCACCGAGAGCCTTTAAACTTGTTTCTTCTGCACTGTTGGAGGAAACGTGTCTGATTTAACGGGTTGCATGCAAGACGTTTGAACACATTTTAGAACATTTTTAACTATCCGAGCGCTTGCTGAAAATGGTCGGAGCTGCGCTCATGTGTTGCGTAGATATAACCCCGCCAAAAGCGTGGCGACGGCGCCTAGCTGCGTGTAGTCGCTGAAGATGAAAATAGGTGGCCGTCCAAAACGTGTCCGTGCACCCTCGGCCGCGCTCGAATTTAGAAGTTTCACTTAAGGGTCGAGGTGAAATGAGGCTGGCACCTGGCTCTACTCTGATCTCCGATTACGAGCGAGGCCGCAGGGCGGGCAGGTCTTGCCGTCAATGGACGGACAATTATGTGGCTTCAGCTACCCGGTGCTGCCCAGCCGCGCCAGTCACTCTTTGCACAAACCTATATCTTTGTGACCTTTGATTGCACCGCCATTCAGCAACGAGTTGTAGCATTGTTAAGGACTTGTGTCCCTATATTTAAAGGCACTTCAATGCCAGCTGTTCGATGGGCTGGCGTATGTCTGCAATAGTTGGCGCCACTACTTCATCTGCCCTTTCTTGGGGAAAGTAAGGTTTCCAAAACGCGAAAAAGCCGACGAACACGCGTCGGAATCAGGTACAGACATCACAACGACATGATACTCGTGCCAACAGGGGAAGAAATGGGACTAGCACTTACAGAGGAGGAAATGGGCAGTCGTACCGGCAAAAGGCTCGGTCGCTATGTGCAGACTTCCATGCGTAATCATACACAAACCATTGACTGGTCTGTTTGCGGGTGTTTTTAAGGTTTGATGCCAGATCACAGCGACCCGAGGGGGCTGAGACGTGAAATCAGCTGTTCGGTGTTGTTCAGCATGCATAAAGCGTTGCCAATATTGTCCGATGCGTGTGTGCGTCAATAATAAACCGGGAAACAGATCTTGTCAGCTTTTCGGAAGCCCACCTTGAACATAGCACACTATGGCGTGCTCGGAACCGAGACCGATCGTCCCTGGGAAACAGCGTCATTCGTGAGCCCAGGCTATTGGGGCCAGAGGCCAATGAAAACAGTGGAAATTCACGAGTGCGAAGTGTTTTACGACTACTTTCGCCCGTCGTCAAAATACTCTGCCTTTCAAAATTGATGGAAAGCGTCGATTAAATTTGCTGAGATTTTGTTGTTGAAGTGTGAGCGGTAGTACATTTTTATAAAGTATTCAATGATCTTTTGCATATGAATTCTACAAATTGCAGCAAGCCAAGCAACGAACAGCGTTTTAGCCCAGGTCATTATGAATTTTTACCGAGAAACGATATGCCTTGAGAGTATTTCCACGTCCGCCGTCCGTCACAGAGCGGGCGCCCGTCACTGGGGCGCCACAGCGCGAGCCTCCGTCACTGGAACGTCACAGAGCGGGCCTCCGTCACTGGGGCGCCACAGCGCGAGTCTCCGCCACTGGAACGTCACAGAGCGGGCCTCCGTCACTGGGGAGCCACAGCGCGAGCCTCCGTCACTGGAGCGCTGGCAGCGGTCGTGGCAGCCGTTAGGGCGTCAGCGATGTGTTTCAGCAGCGCCGCTCGGCCGGCCACGTGTTCAGGCCGCGTGCGCATTGCGCCTGCAATGGTTCCGCCTATCTCTGGCAACCACCCGGCTGAGGAAATGTCATGCCGCCTGGGCGCCGGAACCTTCCGGTATCGCGGTGTAGATAGTTTACAATCACATGAACTAGCGTTAAAGATGGCTCGTCGCTCTGTCGGTGTGCGTGCCGTGCTGCCCAATACCATGGTTTGCGCCTCACTGCGCAGTTGAAAGCGTTTCACCGCGACGACGAAAGACCACCGTATTTTCTTTCTGTCCGGACGGATACACCATCCGTGGATTTGTGCTCGTTGCACCGATGTCATGTGAAGATATTGGCGTAAGCCTGGTCATTTCGGCGCAAGTGCTCCCAGGCCGAATAGAAGCGTGCACCATGTTTTCTTGCTGCTTGTGCGCACTCTGGGTTGCGCATTGATCTCCCGAACCCCTCGCGGTTTGGTTTCCCAATTTGTGACGCATAGTTTGCGTTGCGCCCAGCCCATTTAGCCCGGGATGGCTCGGTGCTCAACGGTCATGAGGCACTTCAAACCATAAATTGTTCGTGGTGTGTCCGCTACGTTTGGCAGTCATCACCGTAACGACCGGTTGTAAGCCGCTCAGTTTCCCTGCAATTTGGTTTTCGCCACTTGGAAAGGGCTTATGCAATCTGACGCTTCGTTATTGCTGTCACAGCCGGGGGACGCGTTTGTTTCATGCTCGGTCTACCTCCTGCGGCTCTCTCCGGGTATGTCCTCTCACTTCCGGTGGGGTGCTCACCGCCGCGTGCCCCGAGCCAGGCGTGTCCTAATAATCGCTGGTCCCAGGGCGAATCTCGTCTTCGGTCTGCCACGGTCGTGACCGCCGCCACGCCTGGTGAGGGGTTCAGTTCAGCGGCGCACGAGCCGGGCCTGACCTGTATGCCGCGTTCGGCTCGTCCTAGCGTGCCCTGTCTGACCCCCCCCCCCCCCCCCCTCTCTTCTGACCAGACACGGTCAGGCTGCCGTCAGAGAAGTTCACCAAATCGGACGGCGGCCCCATCGAGCTGCAGAACGAGCGGAAGCAGTTTCTGCTCAGCTCCGCCGAGGAGCTGTACGCCGACGTCAGGTGAGAACAGCCGGGTCGGCCGCCGGGCGTCGGGCGTCGATGGGGCCGAACCGCGGCGGACTCGAGAGAGGGGAACACCCCGCGAACGGCCGCCAGTCTGGTCGACACGTGGCTGGCCTCTGCATGCGTGTCTGTTCTTGGTGGCGCGGACGATGAACTTACGTGTGATCGCGTGACCCTCTGCTGGCTTCTGTGACCGTTACACCGATCCGGTAGCACTGTCTCAGCCTTCACAGACACGCAGCGATAGGACATTCCGTGCTACAGGTACCTCCAAACGGAACATTCATAAAACATTCTGTGCCCGGCCGGACGAATGTGCAGCTGCCCCCAGACGGAACACTTGTTAACCCAAACCTTTCGTTGTCACGCTGCAGAGATAAGAATTTTAACGCGGTGGGCCCAGCACTGAGCAAAAAGGCGAAGCAGATATCGGCCCAGTATGAAGAACGGCACTCCCAGTCGGTCAGCGAGATGAAAAACTTCGTCAAGAACGTTTTGCCATCCATTAAATCCGCCAAGGAGTCCCTCGCCCTCCGTACGTTTTCTGCGTGGGATGGTCCCGGCAAGCGCTCTCTTCCGCTCGCCACCGATATCTGCATTTGTATTTGCGTTTGGCACGGGAAACCGTCCGCTGGACCTGCGCCTGTAGCCGTCCCCACTGGACCTGCGTCTGTAGCCGTCCCCATTGGACCTGTGTCTGTAGCTGTCCGCACGGGCGGGGTGCGTACACGGCTGAACGACAAGGAACCAAAAGGGCGTGCAGTAAGGCGGGTGCATGCATGACGTGCTCGAAGGTGGTTTGTGTCTTTGTCATTAAAAAGCTAAGAACGTCAGGAAGTTGCGCGTCTGTCTAGATAGGACGATCGTGCTATCACCTTCGCTGCGTGGCGGTATATGACATTCGGATTGAAGTCCGCTGTGTGACCCCTGTGTCGACCCGCCCTGACCCCTGTGTCGACCCGCCGTGACCCCTGTGTCGACCCGCCGTGACCCCTGTGTCGACCCGCCCTGACCTCTGTCGACCCGCCCCGACCCCTGTGTCGACCCGCCCTGACACCTGCGTCGACCCGCCCTGACCCCTGCGTCGACCCGCCCTGACCCCCGTGTCGACCCGCCCTGACCTCTATGTCGACCCGCCCTGACCCCTGTGTCGACTCGCCCTGACCCCTGTGTCGACCCGCCCCGACCCCTGTGTCGACCCGCCCTGACCCCTGTGTTGACCCGTCCCGACCTCTGTCGACCCGCCCCGACCCCTGTGTCGACCCACCCTGACCCCTGCGTCGACCCGCCCTGACCCCTGCATCGACCCGCCCTGACCCTGTGTCGACCCGCCCTGACCTCTGTGTCGACCCGCCCTGACCCCTGTGTCAACCCGCCCTGACCCCTGTGTCGACTCGCTCTGACTTCTGTGTGGACCCGTCGTGACCTCTGTTGATCCCCTGCTGTCGGGTGTGGTCTGCGGTGTGACCCCTGTGTCGATCCGCCCTGACCTCTGTTGGTCCGCTGCTGTCGGGTGTGGTCTGCGGTGTGACCCCTGTGTCGATCCGCCCTGACCTCTGTTGGTCCGCTGCTGTCAGATGTGGTCTGCGGTGTGACTCCTGTGTCGACCCGCCCTGACCTCTGTTGATCCGCTGCTGTCGGGTGTGGTCTGCGGTGTGACCCCTGTGTCGACCCGCCCTGACCTCTGTTGATCCGCTGCTGTTGGGTGTGGTCTGCGGTGTGACTCCTGTGTCGACCCGCTCTGACCTCTGTTGATCCGCTGCTGTCGGGTGTGGTGTGCGGTGTGACCCCTGTGTCGACCCGCCCTGACCTCTGTTGATCCGCTGCTGTCGGGTGTGGTGTGCGGTGTGACCCCTGTGTCGACCCGCCCTGACCTCTGTTGGTCCGCTGCTGTCAGATGTGGTCTGCGGTGTGACCCCTGTGTCGACCCGCCCTGACCTCTGTTGATCCGCTGCTTTCGGGTGTGGTGTGCGGTGTGACCCCCGTGTCGACCCGCCCTGACCTCTGTTGATCCGCTGCTGTCGGGTGTTGTCTGCGGTGTGACCCCTGTGCCGACCCGCCCTTACTTCTGCTGACCCGCTGTTGTCGGTTTTGGCCCCGCAGTATGACCCCTGTGTCGACCCGTCATGACCCGTTACTGACCGCCGCCGTCGGGCGGGGGTCGTGCAGACACCTCGATCGCCGAGCTAATCAAGGAGCGGACGGACAGCGAGGCGTTTCTCGAGTCGCTGCAGGCTGAGCAGGAGATGATGAATGGTATCGACACCGAACGGCCGCAGCCGCACATCGAGGAACTGATCGCGAGGAAGGCCGACCTCACCAAGGTGGGAGACGGGCTCACCTGACCAGACAGGCCGTGACACGCGCTGCCGCCGGCTCCCCATCCTCCATGCGTCAAATGCACATGTTACTCGTTTGGTGCCTGTGCTTTTTGAGAGCTGACGCCAGCTGGCGATCGAGCGATCTGGGAGGATGGCTGTCGGAGCCGACTACTCGCGGCGATCGGCCATTACAACCGATCTTTGTTTATTTTGGGCGGATAAGTTCATCATCGATGGTTGCTCAGGCCCACAGAGCCTCGCCGATCTTCCGTCCCCTCCTTTGACGGGGCGCGCCCGTGCTATCCCCCGCCTGACGTCCCCCTCCCCCTCCCCCCCCCCCCCGATGTCCAGGTGCTGCGGCTGCTGTGCCTGCAGTCGGCGTGCAGCTCGGGCCTGCGGCAGCGTCTGCTCGACCAGTACCGCCGCGACCTGCTGCTGACGTATGGCTTCCAGCACGCGGCCACGCTGGACCAGCTGGAGCGGGCCGGCCTGTTGCGCGCGCAGGGGCGCGGCTCTTACGCCGCACTGCGCCGCGCGTTCCGCCTCACCGTTGACGACGTCAACGAGCAGGCGCCCACCGACATCTCGTACACGTTCAGCGGGTATGTCGGCGGCAGGAGAGCAGCGGAGGGCGGGGCGAGGGGCGAGCGCGCCACGCCCCTGGAGGTCACATCACCGCTCTGTGTTCGACAGTGCGACCTGACGTGTGTGCATCGGTCATGGAGGCTGCCCGCGTTCCTCTTTGACTCCGCACGGGTTAAGGAGAATTTTTCGTCGAAAAGGTGAACATCGGCACATGGTTTTTAACCATGAACATTTCCATCAGCAGTCGAGTATCGCCTGTTAGCGAAAAATATATGATTGCTGGTAGGAGGATCAGGGATATATATCTACGTGTGGGGCTGCTTCCGATGGACGTTCGGCAATGTAAACCACGTGCAAACGAGTGAAGTGGAAAACAGGCTTGTTTTGGTCTGGTGGCTTGCTAAGTGGCGTGAGGGGTAAGGTGTCTCGCGGCAACACCGTGCATAATGGTAATTGGCGCATTGTCTGCCGGCGAAAAATGCCCATAGTTCGGGCTGAGTAGTTGGCGAGGCCATAATGTAGAAAAGTGCTCTGCAAAAAGTGGCCGCGCGACAGTAATTGCTTGAAAGATATGCTGCAGAGCAGCACTTGTTTTTGATCTGCATAGTCAAGTATAGTGCTGGAACAGCACAAAGTCAGCTGGTTTCTTTGTGGTTTTGGACCGGTGCCGGCTGCTCACAGCTGTTGTTGACCCGTGTACCGCGAAAAGACTCGCCGGACGACCCGCTTCCGGTGGTAAGTAGTCTAGATCATGCGCAGGCTCCTCACACTCGTCTGTATAACACCACGCGGTGTAGCGCTTGATGCCATGTTCTCAATGCTTTTCGGACTTGGTGCTCAGGAAACACGTTGAAAGGCCTCCGTCGTCGGGGTCTCAAACTAAAGTCGACGTTTTTTGTCGTGATGATCGCTTTAGGACATTCTGTAACGTTCTTACCGAACCGTATTTACTGTATTTGTTGCACGCATACTGTGCACGAAAGTCTCTGTTGCGTGCAAGTTACTCTAGCTACAGTTCTGAATGTCGTGGTCATTTGCGGTTTGTAAAGCCTTCAGTTCAACGGAAGACGTCTGATTCTGTAATGAACGCACCCTTTTGTTGCCGATGTCACCCCGCTGATGAGTCCTGCAGGTGCCGCCCGAATTTCATCAGCATCACACTGGCTGGTGTGTGCTCTTGACGTACCCAAGTTCTCCCCCATGCAGTCGGCGCTCGCTCCGCCACTACTTCTTGTGTGCGTCTACTGCGCGCCCGCAACCCCACTGGCCGTGGTGTCGAGCGCCGCGTTCAGCGCGCCGTGTGCTGTCGTGCGATAGGTACGCGCCGCTGTCGGTGCGGCTGGCGCAGCTGCTGGCGCGTCCGGGCTGGCGCTCGTCGGCCGACGCACTGGCGCTGCTGCCGGGGGACACGCTGCAGGAGGAGCAACGGGCGCCGGCGGCGGCCCGCAACCGGCGCGACACGGGTCCGCTCGGCCTGGCCGCCGACGACGCCCGGCTCACGCTGGTCTTCTTCCTGGGCGGCGTCACATTCGCAGAGGTGGCCGCGCTCCGCTTCCTCTCCGGCCAGGAGGACGGTGAGGATGGGGAGGACGGGGAGGAGTTGGTGACGGGTGGTCGCTGCGGTGGTGACTGCGATGGTTATAGTGGAGAGCAGCGCGTCTCGTGAATGGATGGCGGGGCAGGGCGTCCGTGGGCACGACGGCTTCTACTATTTCGATTTCGTTGCAGGATAAACTTCCCCGTTTATTTATTTCCCTGCGCAGTGTGACACATCAGTGACATGTAACATGACCGCGAGTGTGATCGTCTGCATCACTGCGATGTGGACAAGGCTGGTGCAGCGGCGGGGATCCCTGATGTGGACAAGGCTGGTGCAGCGGTGGGGATCCCTGATGTGGACAAGGCTGGTGCAGCGGTGGGCGTCCCTGATGTGGACAAGGCTGGTGCAGCGGTGGGGATCCCTGATGTGGACAAGGCTGGTGCAGCGGAGGCGTCCCTGATGTGGACAAGGCTGGTGCAGCGGTGGGGATCCCTGTTATGGACAAGGCTGGTGCAGCAGTGGGCATCCCTGATGTGGACAAGGTTGGTGCAGCAGTGGACATCCCTGACGTGGACAAGGCTGGTGCAGTAGTGGGGATCCCTGATGTGGACAAAGCTGGTCTAGCAGTGGGCATCCCTGATGTGGACAAGGTTAGTGCAGCAGTGCGGATCCCTGATGCGGACAAGGCTGGTGCAGCAGCGGGGATCCCTGACACGATGTCACCTGACCGATCTTCGGAAGCCGGCCCGTGCTCCGTGTTCGCGTCATGGTCCCAAGGCGCCAGTTGATCGGCACCGTGGCGTGTTTCAGCTCCCACCGAGTACGTGGTAGCCACGACCAAGATGATCAACGGTAAGGCGCTGATCGCCTGTCTGTCGGAGCAGCTGACGCCGCCCAGCTGAGCGCCGCCGTCTGACCCCTTCCTGGCCGTAGCTGGTGCCCCTGCCTCCCGGCGGCGGTCCCCGCTCCCCAGGCGGGAGCGTCGGCCTCCGCCGGCTGCCGTTGTCCGGCCGGACGGGGCTACCTGTGTCGGCTGGCGGCAGGGACGCGGCGCGGGTCTGCCCGGCTCTGCGACGCTGCAACGGCTGTGCCTCGTATCCGGCACGGCACCCTATATCATGGGTATGATGAGCCTGAGTGAACCCAGGCTGAAAGCACATGGTGCATTTAGTTCACCAGTTCTCGAACATTGATACGCCGGGTACCACCGTATTGGCCCACGATACATGTATCTCGTGTGTACTCGCTTTGTTTATCGCGTTTGAGTGTTGCAATACTGTTTGATCGAACGAAGTGTCAGTTTACCGAGCGGCTTGCTTCCGAGGACCATAACCTGACCGGCATCGCCTTACACCCTGCTATGGTAATGGTGAAGCCGTGTAGCTGCCGACGGAAGCGAATCTGCTGACGTTCCTGAAATACAGGCCGTCGCTTAAGGATGCATATCCTAGTCTGCAGTTCGTCATCATTTGGGCTTTATCGCGCACTCAGCTGCGGAGGCTATATGGCGGCACCCGTCTCACCCTAGGGGGAAGGGCGAGGAATCGGACCCCGTACCCCTGATTTCCCACACGCGCGATGGTTAACGCAAGCGCGTTAACCACTGCAATATCGGCACCCCGGCATCCTGTTCGAGTCGATCTGTTAGTGGCATGAAGTACACGCCGAAAGCAGGATGTATTTTAATGGAAGTTTCACTGCGGAAGCAAGCCCAGCGGCGTGAAGACGGGTAAGTGTTGGTGCGGGACTCTGTCCGTCTATCAAACCGTTCGGGGAGAAATGCGTCACGTTAGCATCTGTTGCGCCATACCCTCGCCTAATTCGCTAGTTTTTCGCAAAAAAACCAAACCAGAACCATCTGTTGTATGCTACTCTCGCCTGATTCCCTAGCTTTCCATAACATAGATTTATGGGGGGATGCGACCCCATGCCGTTTCCAAACGAAGGTTCTCGTGGAAAAGACAGTGGACTTGTCCCTACGAGATCTCCTAATTATTAATCAGTTTGTTGTTGCTAGTTCTATAATTGGCCCCACCAAGGTGGGTGAAAGGGTTAAATTTACCCCAAAGTCGAATTTTCAGCCTTACGCAATCGTATGTGTAAGACGATTGCGAATATTTTTTTCTTCTTCGCTCGTCACGACGACCCCGCAGCGACCCAAAACCTTGGCAGCAAGACCTTGTTCATTGCTCGATTCGAAGTGCAATGGTGTGTAGTTTTTGTGTTTTGAGGATATAGTTATGATGCAGGGCTTTAATTGAAAAGCCAACCAGCCGCGCGCGGAATCGGAATGGAATGTCGGCTGTCGATCGGAATCGTCGACTGTAGATCGCCGTGCAGCGTTCCTAAAAAACCACCACTTCTCAGGCACCGGAAAAGCTAGGCACACGTTTTTGGTGCCAAAACGCCCGCACAATCGAAGGGGCCATCGACCGGAAGGGCCTCTGTGACTAAAATTGACCTGGACGAAATCCTGTCTTCGCCACTGGTGTGGAGCGTTTGCATGCCTCCTTTCGTTCGAGGCGGGGAGGGATAGCGAAAGGGGGATGAAGGATATTTCCAGGGCGCAAATCTGCTTTAGAGTGCGTAGCATGCAATGCCGACATGAAGCGTCCCAAGTATATTCTATGATATATTTCCTTCTCATGTCGCCATAGTACGACACAATCATGCAATAAACAAAGTATTCCATAACTTGCCCTGCACACTGCGGCGGAGGGCCAACTGTCTTCACTTACACTTCGGGCAACCTGCCCAAAACAGCGCCACGCTGGAGCTACGGTGGGGTTCTCCACAGAAACAAACTGAACGATAAGTCGTCTGCAGAGGCGGTAAGCATGCGCGTCCTGCGTCATCCACACCTGCGTCATCGGTTACCGGCGCCCGCCGCCCCGCCCGCGGCATGCCGTGCCGTGCCGTGCCGTGCCGCTACGGCTTGAGCGCCTGCCGGTACTGGCTGATCTGCTCCAGCAGCGCCCGGTTGTTGTTGCCGCACAGACTCTCCACGTAAGCCAGCGCCTGTCGGTCGCGCTGCTCGTGCGCGATCCTGGCTGCCTCCTCTAGGTTCCTGCGGCGCGAGGGGTGCTGTCGGACCGATGATGGCGGTGCGTTTTCGGGCGCCAAAGGACATTGCGTTCTACGCGCGAGTGAAAAACGGCTCAAGAAATGGCCAAAAAAGGGCTCTTGTCCACAGGCCGCTAACACTATCCCATCGCGACGATCAGCCGCCGTGCGTCGATGTTTTGACACGAAACATCCAGAGGGTCCTGTCGCGGGAGAGACCAGGACGCTTACCCGACTTTGGCGTAGTACTTGACTTTCTTGTCGTCGGCCACCCGCGCCAGGTACTTCTTCGCCTCATGAAGGTTGCCGTGCTCCATGCACGCATCCACGAACGGCTGATGAGACCGGCCCACGACGTGAGCCCACACAGCCCACGTCGCGCAACATGCCAAAGGCGAAGATATAGGGCGGGCAATGTTGCAATATTTGCTCCCTGATGTCTTTTGTTCTAACAATAATAAAATGCCTCCGACCGCTTCCTTTCATAACAAGATACACCTGGATTTTCGCGTCAAACTTGCCCGTCAGACTCTAGGAACACACCGACAGCAGGCACGTTATTCCCCGTACAAAGCAGAATAACTCGGCTGATCCCCGAGCCAGTCGTGCTGCACGTCAGCCGCCGTCGCCGCCGTGTGCTATACTCACCTCGTATCCCACGGGCGACTTCTTGCTCTTGGCAAACTGCTCTAGTTCGACCCACTGACTGGCCTCGGCTAGCGCCAGAAGTTTGGTCCACCAGAAACTGCAGCCGGAGGCGTGGCTTGACAGAGGCCTCGGGGAACCACACAATGCCGGGGTAGTGGCTCGGCAGAGGCCTCGGGGGAACCACACGCGACCGGGGGCGTGGCCCGACAGAGGCCTCGGGGAACCACACAATGCCGGGGTAGTGGCTCGGCAGAGGCCTCGGGGGAACCACACGTGGCCGGGGGTGTGGCCCGACAGAGGCCTCGGGGAACCACAAACAGCCGGGGGCGTAGCCCGACAGAGGCCTCGGGGAACCACACGTGGCCGGGGGCGTGGCCCGACAGAGGCCTCGGGGAACCACACAATGCCGGGGTAGTGGCCCGACAGAGGCCTCGGGGAACCACACACAGCCGGGGGTGTGGCCCAACAGAGGCCTCGGGGAACCACAAACAGCCGGGGGCGTAGCCCGACAGAGGCCTCGGGGAACCACACGCGGCCGGGGGTGTGGCCCGGCAAGGACCTCGGGAACCACACGCGGACGGCCGCGGCCGCCCGGCAGCGCTCCGGGACCTGGCCGTCCGCGCTACTGGAGAGAAGCAGACACCAAGACAGCTACTCCACAGGCTTAGGTGCGGCAATCACGTGCCAAGGAGAGACAATACAAATTGGCCGATCCTTTCCGACTAGTGATGCTCGTTTAGCCCTCACGTCAGCGCCCGGCGATTGTTCAGAGCAAGATACACCCGAGCATCTGACGGCGGCGACACCGAAGCGCCATCACACGACCGGCCCAGCCGGCACCCAGCGCCGCTCGGGCGCGGGAGAACCCCCGGACAGGGTTCCGCACCGTTTGTCGGAGATCTTGTACTCGGCCCGCAGGCTGTCGGCCAGCTTCAGCTCTCCGTACAGGATGAGCCGACTGATGGTGTCGTGCAGCGAGAGCCCCACGTACTCCCGGTTAAACTTCTCCTCCAGGTTTGACTGCCGGAGCGACACCGCACTGACGGACGGCCGCCCACAGAGGGAGCAGTCTGTCCAGACATTCAGGGGCTCGAAGCAGCAGCGACGGTCTAGCGGCTCAGTTGGATCAAGCAAGGGTGTAATGGGATTTATGCGTCATCCATACACAGCTAGAACAGGTGCCAGTCTTACGAAATGGTTGACTAGGATCAGTATCACGATTGGAAGTATCATTCCGACTTTTCTCCTGATCTGATTTGATGGTACATACACAACGCTTCGGTCCGGTGAGCCCCCGGCCGTCTTCAGTTGTCATGGAACCCTGAGAAGGACTGTATGGCGTTTGGGTATCAGGCATGTGTCACAAACCAAATTTTCTCCTTGGAGTTGCTGGGATTCGAACTGGGATTCGTCTTCTGAACAGGGGTGTTATGAGTCCAACACGCTACCATCGAGGTAATCGGGAAGGACAGATTAGCTCGCCCTTCGTTCCTGATTATGTTCTTCCCGGTTCGTTAGGTGGTAGAGCGCTGCATTCGCAATCAGAAGACCCCGGTTCGAAACCCAGCAATGCCGAGGGGAAACTGTGGGCCGTCACGCGTATATGGCCGAACGCCAAACACCATCCAGTCTTCCTCAGCACTCGCTAACACCTGACGAATGCTGGATAACAGACTGGCCGAAATATTGTATTCGTACTGACCCGTCAGACAAGGACGATAGTCCGAACAATAACGTTATCCGTGGGATCAGCTCACCTGCCGTTTCAGCAGCTTGTGCTGGTCCTCAGTCTGGGTGGCGAAGAAATCGTTTTTTGCTTTCTTGAAGCAGTCCTGGGCGGCGACTAGATGTGATATGCGAAGGTCCACCCTCTGCGGCCAGGGGGCGTCTCGTGGTTCTATAGCAATCAGTGAGGCAAGGACGACGAACGACGGAAGTGTCGGACGCCACCGACATGCCTCCAAAATACTCCTAAAAAAACTCCATGGCAGCCAGTGATGGTGGTGAGTAATGAGCTGGCACGATACCCAATCTCCATCCGATCGCCTCCTGGTACTGAGCCGATCTCCCCGACTCTAAGCCTCGCTGTCTCCTGGCCGTCAGCCCTCCCGTTTCCTGCCGAACCTCCCTGGCTCTACGCTTCACCGTCTCCTGATACCCTTCTCCGACCCTTAATCGCACTACCTTCTAGCACACCTCCTTGGCCCTCAGCAGTACCACCGTCGGTACGCCCCAGACACCCAGCCTTACTGTCTCTTGGTAGGCCTCCCTGACCCGTAGCAGGCACCTCCTTGGCCCTCAGCAGCACCACCGTCGGTACGCCCCAGACACCCAGCCTTACTGTCTCTTGGTAGGCCTCCCTGACCCGTAGCAGGCACCTCCTTGGCCCTCAGCAGCACCACCGTCGGTAGGCCCCTGGCACCCAGCCTTACTGTCTCTTGGTAGGCCTCCCTGACCCGTAGCAGGCCTTGGCCATGAAAGTCGTCCTCCTGGATCATGGTGTCCCGCAGCAGCTCGGTCTGGCCACGGCCGCGCAGATACTTCACGTACAGAGACTGCATCAGCGGATAGTTCCTTATCAGCATCTGAAACGGGCGCCACGCAGCCGTCAGGCCCAACAAACGGCCAGGCAGCGGGGCCGGCGCTGCCAAACCTCACCAGGAGCTCAGCCCGCCCCGCCCCCAGCGCCAGCGCTCACCTGGAACTCGGCGCGCCCCCTGGCGTCGCGTAGCTGCAACAGGGCCGAGTGGGCCAGGCCCGGGTCACCCGAGGCGGCGGCGCGCTGCAAAGCCTCGTCGCACATGTTGAGGTCGATCAGCAGCGGCACGGTGCGGCGCGCCTGCTGCTCCAGCGCCAGCAGCTGGCCAGGTCAGGTCACGTCAGGTCAGCCACGCAGTGCGGCGAGCCTCCTGGTCAGGTCGGGTGGGTAGTCGGCCAGGTCAGGTAAGAGCACAGCGAGCGGGCCACGCCGGGCATCGATGCCACCCAGCCAGAGATGAGGAGCACGCTGTGCGGAAACGCCAGGCCCCCAGCAAAATGGGGACGCACCCACCACGGTTCGGCCGATAGCAGTACTATCCAAAGCACCTGTGTGTCTAACTAGCCCTAGTTGGATAATGGTGGCACAAGCAGAGCTGGACGCCGGTGCAGCAAAGCATGTCAGATCCCCGTCCGTGCCGCCCCGACACGCTCGCCGCGCCGGTCATCTGCACACCAGCCAGCCGTCATCCGGCTCACTCCCCCCGGTGATCGGTACACCAGCCCGCCGTCATCTGGCCCGCCCCGCCCCGGTGATCGGTGCACCAGCCGGCCCGTCCCGCTCCGGCCCGTCACCTGGATGGCAGTGCCGCGCTTGCCGGCTTCGATGGCCGTCTTGGCCACGTCGGCGAACGAGATGCCCGACTGGGTGCCGAGCCGGTCGGCGATCTCGCGCGCCACGTGCTTGCCGTCCGCGCCGTCAGCGCCGGCGGCCACCACCACGTGCTTGGCCCAGGCCTCAAGAACGCGACGCTCGCCGTCGGCGCGCGGCACCTCCAGGTGGCGGCACACGCGCAGCGCCAGGAAGTGCAGCCGCCGGCGCATCAGACGGTCCAGCAGCATCGAGACGGGCATCTCGCGCAGCCTGTGGGGGACGGGCCATCGGTCGGCGTGGGGCACAGGGTGCTGCGGACAGGCGACGCAAGTGGCTGGGGCCGTGGGGCCTCAGCTCCAGCTCCAGACCAGACGGGTGGAGACTGATGTCACCCAGCCCGTCCATGGGCTGGGGTGGCAGTCGTCCAGGCAAGCGGAGAGTGGACGGGAGTTATAGTGGAATGCAATAGATGAACACGAGGATCATTGGCTGACGCAACGATGTACGTACCAGGGGAGAAGTACCACCCGAACGCGCCTTTGTCATCATCCCTGAATCGTCCCCACAGCAATCAGTTTTCTTCGCAACCGACCAAAGCCTCGCGCAAGGCACGCTCAGACAGCCGCTGCCGGCGCGCCGCACTCACTGCCCCATGGTGAGCGGCATGCCGTGGCTGTGGTGCCTCAGCGAGTTGAGCACGCGCAGATACCGGCACGTGGAGACGTACGGCTCCGGATCCATCAGCTCCGGGATAAAGCTTTTGCCGTACTGAGCCGCCTGCCAACGAGGAGAGGCCGTATAGAGGCCACCAGACGACACCCACAGTCACTAGCTGAACACACCATACTGAGCTGAAGGCGAATGACAGGAAGGACAGGAATATTCTGTATCAGCGGAAGACAATATAAGACGACAGTCATGCATTTTTCTTTTGGATGACACTCATGGGGATAAAAAAAAACATGGACGGCTCGGAACAGGGCCAAATTACCTCCCATTATTAGACCAATATGGTATCATGACAACCAAAATAACCGCCAAAAACACCAATTTACCACACACATGTATCGTGTGTACATGAAAAGCGGCAAATACTGGTGTGTGCGTGCGCGTGCGCGTGCGTGTGTGCGTGTGTGCGTGCGCGTGCGCGTGCGCGTGCGCGTGCGCGTGCGTGTGTGTGTGTGTGTGTGTGTGTGTGTGTGTGTGTGTGTGTGTGTGTGTGTGTGTGTGTGTGTGTGTGTGTGTGTGTGTGTGTGTGTGTGTGTGTGTGTGTGTGTGTGTGTGTGTGTGTGTGTGTGTGTGTGTGTGTGTGTGTGTGTGTGTGTGTGTGTGTGTGTGTGTGTGTGTGTGTGTGTGTGTGTGTGTGTGTGTGTCATTGGGGCTTTACGACGCACTCAGCTACTGAGGCTATTTGGCGTTGCCTGCCTCTCACCCTGGCAGGAAGGGCGGGCACCGCGGGGAATCGAACCCCGTACCACTGGTTTCCCAGACGCGCAGTGGTTAACGCAGACGCGTTTACCACTACACTACCGGAACCCCGCAAATACTGGTGTGGCTACCAAAATGTTCACATTTGAATGGCTCCTGACGTGAAGCAAAACACCAAAAGTTGTTCTAACGGCCCCAGCAGACCCAACGCAAGGCTGCCCGGTGCGCCGTTCCACGACAGGCAGCGCCGCACTGACCCTGAGCAACAGCTTCTGGAGCTCGGCACTATGCTCATGGCCGGCCGCTTCTACGCACGACGTGACGGCCTGCTTTAGCTGGTTCCAGATCATGCGCAGGTACTCGTCGGCGCGGTGGCTGCGTTTCTGAGGCCCACGACACGCCGGTCAGCGCGGCGGCCGCGGATTGCAGGCCGACTGGCGCCCGGGACAGGCATAGGGTGTGTCGCACAGAGCGGCCCAGATGGAGAGGCACACACTGAGGTGGAGGCTGATCATGGCCAGCCATGGGCAACAGCTCACAGTCGTGGCCCGAGAGTGTGGAGAATTACAACATTTACAACACAAGCGGCTGGAAATGACACAGCAACCCCATCGCATAGGTGCAGAACATGACAAGAAGTGGATCTGAGCGTCGTGTAGATGCAGCCATCAAGCACCAGCACGAGGAGAGCATGACGGCCACACGGCCCCATCAGCAGCGTCAGAGAGCCGGGCGTCACACCTCGTACTCGCGGTAGGTCTCCAGAAGGACGGCGGCCGGGTCCATGGAGCCGATGCGGAACACGGCCGCAGAGTCGCTCCACACCTGCCGGCGCAGGGCGCGCGTCACCGGACGGGGCGGAGCGAGCGGCGTCACCACCCAGCCGCGCTCTTCCTGGTGCCGATCATAGCATTGGGCTGACGAACCTACGTAACGGGGTTGTTGGGGCCGTGGGCATTATTGCGACGGCCCCTCCATAACAGAAGTCCCCCACCTACACAGAAGCATGTTGTGGCGGATTTTTCGCAGCAATGGTTTTCGCAACCCAACCAACCCATAACTGTACGGCGTGATATTTCCACCAGCCTATTGGACAATATAAGAACTGCAAGACGATGCACGACGGAACACTTCCACCCCTTTTCCACAGGTTGGTGGCCGCGCCCCGCACCTGTTCGATGAGCTCGTGGCTGTAGGCGGTGACGAGACGGATGCAGTCGTTCTCGGAGCAGAGTCGGCCGGGGGCGTCCAGCGAGTAGGTGATGGTGTCGCCGCGTCGGCTCACCACCAGCAACCGGCTCTGCCAGTAGCCGACCACCGCGTACGAGCCGCACCTGGCGGCAGATGGTGGGCGTCCGCCTCCGGTGAGGGCCTGGGGCCTGCCTCAGAGGCGCGGCTAAGGGCGTGCACCAGGGGGGCGGGAGGAGGTGTACGAGCCGCACTTGGCAGCAGGTGGTGGGCGTCCGCCTCCGGTGAGGGCCTGGGGCCTGCCTCAGAGGCGCTGCTGAGGGCCGCGGACCAGGGGGGCGGGAGGAGGCGCCGACGGCGCGCGTCGCTCGGATGCGGCGACGACGCCCTGGGTGACGGTGTGACTGTGGTGAGCTGGGGGCATCGCGGCGCGGACGAGCCAGCGCGACTACACCGGGAAGCACCGCCGACGTGCGCACGACAGGCGCTATGCAGACGAAGAAGGAACACCGTCCAAGGAGGTGCAACAATTCGGTGCAAAGTGCGACACTAAAGGAGCCCTTATCCCCGCGTGTCTCACCACTCGAGCTGCTTGGCCGGCTGGCGGACTGCCTCCTGTCCTTATCCCCGCGTGTCTCACCACTCGAGCTGCTTGGCCGGCTGGCGGACTGCCTCCTGTCCTTATCCCCGCGTGTCTCACCACTCCAGCTGCTTGGCCGGCTGGCGGACTGCCTCCTGTCCTTATCCCCGCGTGTCTCACCACTCGAGCTGCTTGGCCGGCTGGCGGACTGCCTCCTGCCCTTATCCCCGCGTGTCTCACCACTCGAGCTGCTTGGCCGGCTGGCGGACTGCCTCCTGCCCTTATCCCCGCGTGTCTCACCACTCGAGCTGCTTGGCCGGCTGGCGGACTGCCTCCTGCCCTTATCCCCGCGTATCTCACCACTCGAGCTGCTTGGCCGGCTGGCAGACTGCCTCCTGCCCTTATCCCCACGTGTCTCACCACTCCAGCTGCTTGGCCGGCTGGCGGACTGCCTCCTGCCCTTATCCCCACGTGTCTCACCACTCCAGCTGCTTGGCCGGCTGGCGGACGTCCGTGTCGACGGTGCAGAACACCTGGCGCAGGTCCAATGACGTCATCACCAGATGGCCGGTGTCGGTGAGCAGGGCCAGCAGGTCACCGGCCCGGTTCGTCACCAGCTGCGTCACGCGCTGGGCGGTCGACGGCAGTGGCGCCGGCTGGCGGCACACAGCCGAAACGTGGCACTGTCACGGTAACACCAGCTCGCAAAACAGGGGACTGGCCTCGTGCGGCTGTCTAGGAATATATCAGATGGAAAATAAGCAGCCATCAGATATTATAGCAGCAACGTGACAACGATACAACCGAATAAATCACATGTCTTGTAAAACGTGCTTATGTGAAACAGTAGAGGTGCGGGGAAAGAGAAGCCAGCAGGGTGGTCAGACACAGTTGCCCTTTTAGACAAACAAGACACAGATCCGTCAAACGTGTCTCCAGTTCGCCGATAGCGCGTCAGTGCCACTGACACCATCCAAGCAGCAGGTCCATGAGGCGGGGACACGCGGTGCGCCCGCCTCACCAGTGGCTGAGCCTTGGAGTCTGCTTCCAGCAGGGAGATCTCCAGACCCTTGGCCACCAGCAGCGCCGATCGGTAGCGGCCGGCTGTCACCGCCCAGCAGCTGGGCGCTGCGCTGCCACCTGGTGGGCACGAGTACAGCCGCTGAGGTGGCCCTCGCGGACGGCTGGGCAACATGTGGCAGCCATCTGATGTCTCACTGACTCACAATAAACAGCACATCTTAGAGCCGCTACGAGCGATAACATTTGGTCACGCTGAGCTGTGACAGAAACGCCTAGAAAGTGCGACCGACCAATCCAGAGATATACTGCGTTGCCAGGCATCCGGCCGGGCCGTTGGGGACAAGGATTGGATGGTGACCTACCAGTGGCCTCCGGCAGCTTCTTCACCAGCGGCTTGTCCAGTGAAGTGGTCATGTAGAAACGGTGGTTCTTGCAGAGCACGGCCAGCCCCGTACCCTGATGGCTGAGGAACACCTCGGCCGAGGCCACCGTGTACTTCTTCACCTCCTGCGGCGACGGCGGAAGTCACGGGCGGGGAGGGGGCCTCCGACGAGCAGACATGACGACAGCATGAGGCCGGAACGGCACGCTTCAGGGGGGTAGACACCGTGGTAGTCCCATTACTTCCGAGGTGTCTCCCTCCGGCTCAACCTGTCTCACCCAGACGCATACCCCACTGAAGGCCGACCCTACCTACACCCCCCTGGTGAGAGGTGGCCACCTCTGGCGCGGCCTGTCTCACCCAGAGGCATACTCCGCTGACGGCCGATCCCACCCACACGCCCCTGCTGGGAGTCGCCCAACCCTGGCTCAGCCACGCATCCACACAACTGACCTGGCCCAGACTGAGCGTGTGTTCCAGGCGGCCGAACATGTCGTACATGGACACCTGGCCGGCGGCGTCCACCAGCACGAGACGCTCGTCGTCGCTCCAGCCGGCGCCGACCAGCTCGCCATTCCACTGCCACACCGGCAGGAGGTCAGAGGTCGGAGGCAGGCACTGGCAGGAGGTCAGAGGCAGAGGTAGGTACCAGTAGGAGGTCAGAGGCAGGTACTACCAGGAGGTCAGAGGTCGGAGACACTATTGGGAAGTTAGAAACCGCTAGCACATGGGTAGCATCATCGTGGTAGGGCAGAACATGTTCTTAATGCAAGCCTAGGTGCAATTGATTGCATCGTTACAATATGAAGATATAACCCAGAACCTCTCACCCTGTGGGTAAAACTTGTGCAAAATGAGAATGCTTGTTTCTGAGAAAGGACAGCTGGTATGACCAGAACACAGTTTGTTTCCGATCTCGTTACGGTCTAGCTCCTTCGCCAGCCAACAGCAGTGATGATGCAGGGTGGCCCCCCACCTTGGCCAGGCCCAGGCTCTCGCCAGCGCCGTTGTAGATCATGATGGGCACGGCTGAATTGGTGACATCACGACAGACGGCGATGGGGCCGCCGGAGCTGCCGACGCAGACCAGCGTGCGCTCCGACCACACACACTCAGCCCACGACATGGGGTACAGCTCGTGACGCCTGCCGGGGGACGATGTCACAGACGGAAGCACTCGGGGCAGTGCTTGATTGCATAGACACCAGGCTAACCACTGGTTTTAATTTAGTGGTTCTGGCCTGATTTGAAGCCAAAATGGGGAGAGGTGCATATCATTTTCATTGCTTAAACCACAGTCAAAGCTCCTGTCCAGCATATGCTAGTAGACCAAACAAGAAGTAAACCTGAACTACAACAATATTCTTACACTATTGTCATACTCAACCTGGTAGTAGCATAAGTTCAGAATAAAAGCTCTGTGTCTTACCAGCCTAGATTTAGAGAGAATTAATGCTCATAGCACCAAAACACCAAGATATATCAAAATGTCACACAGTCCCTGCACTCCTTGATCTCACAAAATCCACGTCTACAAGATAAGTGTACAGTAAATGTCAACATGAAAAACATCATACTAAAGCAATCCAAAACTCTTATCACTCTGCTGATTCAGTTTCACTATGGCCAATTGCAGATTCATTGACCAACCTGAAGAATGTGTCATCACTAATGGGCGTCCAATCAGATGTGTACAAAGCCATTGTCACTATTAGTGCAGAGCAATGCTAGAAGATAACCTCCTCTATTTGCGAGTGATGGGTAACACTTCACATCTGAAACAGAACAAATTAGGTACATAGACAGCACCACCATACACAGAATGGCTTCCAGAGTATCCACTTTGATGCATTTGTCCACCTGCCCAAGTTATGGGAATATCAGGAAAAAAGGCAAGCACTCATATATAATTAAATATGGTTACATGTTGTACACACACCTTATTCAAAAATGCAATATGATTAGAAAACATAATTAGTTCCATTATTTTATGCTATATTGCATTATAATAATAATATAAAATTACACACACATATATATATATATATGTGTGTGTAATTATATATATATATATATATATATATATATATATGCATGCTACATTATATATACATACATTTATATCTATACTTGTCAATGTCATTAAGTCTGCCTAGTGAATATCATACCAGGACTTGGAATTTGGGTGGGAAGGCATACACATGCCAACAAATTCTGCAGTATATGAATTTGATAATAAATGCCTACACAAAGCATCAGTTATAATATTATATCTCAAGA